TTATACTTTGGTAGCGTGAGAAGCAGCAGTTCCACGTACCTTCTAGTCATCAGTTTTGCTGGCAGAGTTTTCATTATGTGTTTTTGCATCTTTATGCAAATGCAAAGCGAATTCTGTTGAGAGATAGCCGACGTATGTGTCTCTACGCATGTTTATGTTTTTCTTATCACCACTTTTAAATCAGCAGTCACAGAAACTAGGAACTGAAATTTCAAAAAGGCATCTCCACCTCACGTGCCATCCATACAGTTTAAAACCAGCGTCCACTTGTGACTGTCTGTCACTTGCAGGCACCTAAGTTTTTCAGCTGGAAGATTTCAGAGACCAGACAAGATAGAAAACTGAAAATTCACTTGAATATCCTTTGACAGCTTGTGAGCAAATGATTCCAAATAAACTGTTACGCAAGCCTATTCTCAGCATGTCTGGTTAGCGAAATCTTTAACATAACAGAACTCTTGACACAGGCATCAACCAAAAATCATTTCATTCCTATATGTCCAGTTATAGAAGGCAAATATTCTCGTAAAGTTAGAACGTCCTAATTAACTTAGTTCTTGAATTGACATTTTGCCAACGATTGCTGGATCTCAAATTTTTCACAGCGGCTGCCGCAGCCGCGGCATGCCGGTTGCAGACGTTCTTGTTTTTTGCAAATTATAAAAATGCAGTAGGTCGCCCAGCATTCCAGGTGTTCTTCCTGGATAATCCCATGGATTAGAAGAATCACTGTTTGTTTTATTATTGTTAGGTCAAGCAGAGTTGAAATGCAGTCGTTTCTGGCAAATTGCCAGCCCAGGAATCTAACTGAGTTTAATGCCATTTATTCTTGAGAATATTTGTTGTCCATGCACGAACATGACAGCACAATACAAGCGTTGGTGTGTGCCTGCATGGCACATTTTTTCTTAATTCAAACATATTTGTAACAAAAAGCAATTTTGCCAGCCAGTTAAGCTAGGAAGCTGAAATTTTACGAGGATATTCTATACTCATGTACGTCCGAAATATTTCAAATCCGGCTTTAAAGCATGCTTGGGTCAGCATTCATGCAAATGAAAGTTTGGCTTGGGGACACTGTTGCATCGAATTAACTCGACAAGCAAACTGAGCAGGAAGCAGTATTTTTCTGCGGTTTTTAGCTGGTCATATGCGAGCCTGCAGGCCTAAAATGAACATTTGGTTATGCATGTGCTCAGCATACAGAAGCATCAGATATTCAAAATGCAAACCGTAGTCACACACCAGTGCAGGCGATCTCTGTGCAGCACGGACTCATGCAAAAACAAATGGCCGCGCCGAGCCTGGTGCTTCGCTATCCGGATTCTCCTTATATCCGATCAGCGTAACTTCATATCTCCGCACATGTAGTTTCGTTTCACGCAAAGACGCAGCTCCGATGGATTTATGTTCCTATTAGGTTGTTAATGTCGTTTTTTTAGAGCCTTTGGAGATGAAAACGACACCTACGGTACAGGCAACACTGCCGCAAACAGTTCTACCAAATGCGCGGGCTGAGTCGGATCATGAAGTAATCACACTGGATTCTGATGAGGAACCATCTGCCGAAAAGGAGTATATTTTGTGTTGCTTCTTAGCTTGTTTGATTGCACTCTAAAATTCGATATTTCTGAATCTTATGGAATTTCGATACTGTTTTCTCGTTTGAGTATCTATTTGGCTATGTGGCTAGGTTTCCAGCTTGAGCAATTATAAAAGCTAGGAAGCTGAAATTTCAGGAGGATGTTCCAGTTAGTATAGGAACACACGATGATT